TCAGTCAGTGCACTGATTTGTTCATTCCTTTTAAAGCTTTCCGTTATTGCAGTGTTCTCTATTTGCTACTTGCGGCGCCTGGATGCGGTGACGATGAGGAAAGCAGTCTGCAGCAGTGGAGTGAAAAACGATGCGAACGTGGCCGTAGAAGGAAGTGCTGAGCCGCCAAGACTAGAGGTTCGAGTGGAACGAACGTTCGCAGTGTTGAAGGATTTGACAGCCGAAATTGCGTGGTCGTCAACAGGAACCAACTCCTGGGGACGCTGGCTGGGCTGGTGATAATTTACACGCAAAGAGCTTATGTTAGTAAAAATACATTAGGTAGGATCACGGCATAACTCTAGAAGTACAGGAATATTTTGCATGATGAGAAGATCATTTCTTGTTCGTACGTTCATAAGATTGTTCCGAGTACGAATTTCGTCATTAGTCAGGGTCAATTTTACAGGGCGATATCAATTTAAGACTGAAGGAGAAAGGTTCGCACCACACCAGTAAGTATTACGCCGTACTCACCAGAGGATTTCTCCGTCTCTTCACTAACAGTAACACCGAGCATTACAAATACGGAATTGATCTTGGAAAGGTAACTCACTGCCATAGTTGTCAACATAACCTTTTCTAACAAGATGTAATCCGAGAGTTGGTGGGTGCTTCCTGATGGTTACGATCGCCAAGACAGGGCGCTTCTACCTCACTGGTTAGAGGTACACTGCAAGACAAGTCATTGGTTCGATCACGCTGCCCAAATTCACCAAACCCTCTATTCCTTCGGGGTCAACAAATTAGTATCACACTTTTCTGAGAAGGTAAAAACACTGACTTGATACAATGTTATACCACTCCAAGTCGTTGTTTATGTCAGATATGCATTAAACCAAATTTGTGATGCGTAGTGGTGCCAAATGTACAGTGTATTCATCAGAAAATAATCACTGCCGAACGCCTTATCACTTTACACCATGCAAAATTTGTGGATAAGAAGGATCAGTTCTTTAGGTTAAGGGAAATCGGACAATTGCTGAAGCTTGTATTGATATAAACTTCCCCATATTTATAATAATCAGGACTCGATGAACCCAAATGAAACCGACGCAACCTTCAGAGCAGCAGTAGGAGGGCAATGTGTTTACCATCGTCATTCGCCGTGGTGATAGCTTTCCATTTCGACACATCGCCATCTCTACACCCCTAAACTATCTCTAACGCTGTCAGAGTAGAGCAATGAAATAAAGAGAAACTGTCTACAGAAAACGTTGCTAATATGGGAGCTGACGGAAGAAAAAATGCTAGTGGTCAGAATAGTGGAATATCACAATGCAAGTTGCAAGGTCTCCCGCTTTCTCATAGATATTCGATGAGTGCCTCTAAAATTAGTCAAAAATTAAACTAAAAGATCAGATTGAAAAATCAAATTCCAAAATTGCACCTAATTTAAAAACTATAGAATTGGCCAGAGGAGTCAACTTTATTCCAGATTTCGCTGCAAGAGGAGGATGGGTCACTTATTCTTGAATTTAGGGTAAGCTTGATTTTCCATGAAGATTTGACTTTCTTCTGATTTTTGACAAACAGTATTATGTAACACCTCCCTGCAAAACGATAGATCATTTCATTTCATTTCCAATACCATTGGCCCCTCATCTTCTATGCGGTGCTGTCTCTTTGTCTACCATTCCTCAGTGCTCATCTAATCGATGCATTTTTGCTTCTATTATATATATATACATACTCATGTATATACATATATGCATACATATATATACATAAATATACATATATATACAGATATATATATGTAAAAAGACAAAGCTATCGGCGGTTATCAATCTCTGAAAGATGCAGTATTTATTCGACTTCATTAAGCATCGTTTGGCGGTGGTTGAATGCATACCTGGCCTTTACAATGACTCGTAGCGGAGTACCGATGTATCGAGCCAGTGCTGCTATCCTCCTAGACAAGTCTGGTACGAATTTGCCCACCCCGCAGAGAAGGAAGGCTTTGTGGGCCATGGGCACAGGGACCGATTCCATGTGTGTGCCGCAGGGCCGGTCCGAACACTGCGTCACACGCGCCCACATATATACACATATATGCATATATATACATGTATATACATTTATGCATATATACATGTATATCTCCGTCAAAGAGGGATCTCATGCCGATTAGTCACGAAGCAACGTGGCGATTCTCCGTGTAGCGAATTGGGGTTAATCGTGGACCAAAAGCGACCTTGTGCTTCCCTCAGAGGCAGGCGTACCATGAGGTGGATTCACTCTTCCTGCTGTGTCGATTTGGCCTTCGTCTGTGGCTCTCCTCCTGACTTTTTTTGTATACGAGGACATATTCAAGCATGAACGCGTGGATATGTCGATCAAATCGATCAAACACCAGCAATTAAGTGAGGGGAAGTATATGGGTGGAGATAAGAAGTCCCTTTAACAAATGAGCTCGTCGTCCACTCTAAGAAAGATTGACAAACTACCTGTGACTATACCAAGCCATCATGTTCAAAGCACAGTAAGCTACAGGTGGGCGCGAATTGCTGGACACAGTAGAGTAAGTGGACCCATTTCCTTGACCCCGATAGAGCCCCTGATACGACAACGTTGGGTAGGTTGGATGCAGAAAGGCTGCTAAAATTTCTGGGCCATTGTAACCCGCCCAAATCTGGGAGAAGTAAGAGGAGAACTCGTGCTTATAGTACACACTCACTTGCTTCGGAATCTTCTATTGAGAAACTGGTGATGCGAACTAAAAAGATGAGATGTAATGTCATCCAGGTGGACGAAACGAGAAGACATTCACCACATAACGCTTTCTATTGAACTAGCGAGTAAATATCCTCGGAACATTCGAAATACAGGATTCAGTGGCGTTGACATCCTCGCTAACACGAGTTTAGCCATGAACATCGATTCATTCGAAGAACTATCATCCCGAAACGGAATTTTGCAGTTAAAGAGACGTTGATCAATACAGACGTTGGCAATCTCGTCCACTACGCACCCACGTCAATCTATGATGATGACGAAGTCGAACCGTTGTTTATGGGAATGAAGAAGTTCTATAGAAATGGCCATATATTCCTTAACTTCATCAGTAATGATTTAAACGCTAAGATTGGACTCAGAGATACGTCTGAAGAGCGCCACATTAAGACCTATGGATTAGAATGGAACTAGCAGTGTGAGCAACTGTCTGAGACTATCATAACAACCCAGACCATTCGTGGTAACTGCTGAACGTGGAAATCTTCCAATGGAGAGTACCGCTTCCAAATAGACCACATCATAGTTAGTTGAAGATTTTCCTAACTGCTGTTGCCGTTATAACAAAATTCTGCATGGGATCAGGCCACCGCCGCCTTCGCTTAAGATTTCATTTCTCACGGAACGCAGAAAAACCCACGAACTTTAAAAAACGAGGTTCCATAACCAGCATAATCTGGGATCTATTCAATTCATTAGCCTGCTGTTGGGTAGATGGCGTTCTTCATAGCATCGACGACAATTACGACCGGCTTATTCAACATTTTCACGTTAGCGCTATGAAAGCCGAGAGTTCGAAAACCACAAAGAGACATTTATCTTCAGGAACATTCAATTTGATGGTCCAAGGTGAAACCGCCGAGGGAGCATCGCCAAATCACGTCGAAACAATGCAGAAAGGCGATAAAAGGTGTTCGTAGAGAGCAACTGTTGTAGTCCAATTTGCAACGGTTGAGAAAATTATTCGCAAAGCCAATCGAAACTTCACCAACGACAAAACCAAGATGATTGTACTCCGACGCACAGGCGGAACAGTTACAGCGTCCAGAAAGGCAATGGGGAATCATTCATGATTACTACTCAGATCCCTTCAGCAACCACGTCCTTTTGTCTTCATATGAAATAAGGGAGGATGGATGTGTCGTACCACCGGCTTTTCGTTCAAAAATCCTACATGCTAATTTGTTGATGAACAGTCGAGCAATATGTGCTCCTGAAATGATAGGACTTGAGCACCTACAGAGAATTCCACATGTCCTCATCAGCATACTGGCACGGCTCTTCACACGCTACCTTTCAGAATGCAAGGTTTCTACTCCATCGGGGGCCAGCAGGACCGTTATTGTTAAAGAATGGAAACCTTGATTTGCGTATGAACGACGACCGATGGACAAGATCCGTTAGAGAGTGGATTCCACGGGATGTGAAACGTACATTCGGAAGACCGTCGATTGGACGGTCATAGTATTTCACGAAAATCCTAAAAGATATAATGTTCAACGAATTTCTTGACCGAGTACAACCTACTGGGCCATCAGTGCACGTGACAGGGAGAAATTAAAAATTAACTGGCGCGCGCTTGCGTCACCGATCACCGAGATGACAAATGATATACATATATATATATATATATATATATGTATATATATATAAGACAAAGCTGTCTGCGTTGACCAATCCCTGAGGAATGCGCCATGCACTCGACTTCATCGTGTATCGTTGGAGGCGATTGAATGCATATCTGGCCTCTACAATAACTCGCGGTGGCCTACCGATGTATCGAGCCAGTACTACAATCCTCCCAGACAAACCTGGTACCAATTTGCTGACTCCTGAGGGATGGAAGGCTTAGTGGGCTACGGGCGTAGGGATCGATTCCACGTGTGTGTCGCAGCAGCGCCTCCAACTACTGCGCCACACGCGCCCATATATGCGTACATCTACATAGGTGTATATATATATATGTATATGTACAATTTACTAGTTTTTAGACTACCAGCTAGTTTAAACATCCACAATTTAATAAAGGAACACAACTGTTTAAGGTTGAATCATATGCACTTACCGCAGTGGACATGGCAGACTTTCGAAAGTGGAAGGACGCCATACTGAGGCATCACCAATACCGAAAAGAGTTGCTAGTGTAAGGAAATCTTCATTTATTATACTTGTTAAGTAAAGATTTATTAATATTATTACAATTAAGACAATGAATTGATGAAAAATCAATAGCTGCCCTCGCTTCTTTCCGGACACGGACAGTAACCAGCGTCTTCTCCTACGAAGCCATTGCTTCCAGGTGTACCGGGAGCTCCATGGTCACCGTCCCTACCTGGGTATCCAGGAAGTCCTGGATGTCCGGGAATTCCCACTGTACCGTCAAGTCCACGTTCTCCGCTTTTCCCTTGCTCGCCTTGTGGTCCTGGCCAACCTGGCGCTCCTTGTAGTCCTTGTAGACCTGGCGCTCCTATCATCACATCGTCGCCAGGTGGCCCAGGGTATCCGTCGTATCCTGGACGTCCTTGATTTCCTTCATCGCCCATTGGTCCCGGGTCACCAAACACACCATCTTCTCCGGCCTCTCCCGGTTGTCCAGGTGCTCCAGGATATCCCTGCTCACCAGGCGCTCCTATTTCTCCGTCCGGTCCAGGGAGTCCTGCCGAACATAGGATGCACCCTCCTGGGATGTTGTGAGTCGCTCTAAAAGAAAACTTTGCATTAATTCTTTTCAAATGGTACATTGAATGAAATTGCATACAATAATGATAATCCGCTCGCTCCTGGTTGTCCGGGTTCACCAGTAGTACCCAGTTCACCGCGTTCGCCTGGTATTCCCGGCGGTCCTTGAGGGCCAGGAGGGCAATCATGGTACTCAGTGTGACAGTTGCAGTATTCCTCATATGATCTTTTTTTGCGAGCAAATAGTGATGTGTACAATTGGGACGAGTCGGATCTGACTCTTTTGGAATGAAACGTGAATTTGATTTGAAGAATGCGCATCCAAGCGTCGTCCGATATAACCTGAAGGAGAGAGTGAGTTGAGCATAGTTAGCAAGCGACTAGCTGGTTCGATATATGTTCTCGGGCTTGTAAAATAATGGAATGTTTGAACATCTCAAATGGATGTTATTCGACTACTTGCTTTTCAGAGATTTTACTGTGTTATTGAATACCTCCAAAATTCAAATAGCTTGTTTGAATTAAGAAAAGAGTTTGAATATTTTTATGCGTAGATGAAACTTACCTTCATCTCTCGCACTCCGGTGACAATTTCATCGTGCATATTGTCAATTTCCTTTACTATGGAGTGGATGGAGATGAGCGTAAAGGCGAGAGCGCCTAGCGAAAGCGAAGCCCCGATCAGTGCGTTACACAATGTCATCTGAAAACCATGGTGTGGAGCGAAAAACTCTAACGCCGTGCTATAATGCTGTTTTACAGCCTCAGCGTGACGTGAAGGTAGCGCCAACTGGAGATAGCACTAGTCATTAACAACTGTGATAAATGAACATGATAACATGAACGAAACTAATTTCCGGAGTTTTGGCGAGGGTTAAGTTGACGACCGCAAAGTCACACAACAATGTGTAGTTGCAAAAAATATTAAAATTCCGTGCCGTGCACAACTATTAGGAGGCGCGATAAACGCAGAGGCCAGAGATGTGCAATTATACGGGCATGAGCTCCGTCCAGTCCTGCGGGATCAGGAAATTGGTCGCAAGCCTGCCTAGCTAAAGCTTTTTACATAGGACAGTCTATGGAGAAAAACTGAGAATGCTGTAGTTGATCTGTCACAGGATTCCATAGGAAATCTACCAGTTCAGCATTCAAGGACATTCGTTACAAAGACGAAATCCTCAAATAGTGGTCGAACCTAGGCGCTAATCCGAGACGTTCGTGGGTGACGGGGGCGAAAAAACTAATCGAATAAATGAAGTTGAAGTGTCAAGTAAAGAAAAGTTACAGACACTTACTATACGAAGAAGGTGGAGTCATACATTGGATAGGCAGGAGAGCCAATCATCCATAGCTGCCTTTTATTGAACGAAGGCGGAAGTTTTTTTTCGGATTTAAACTGAAATTGTTCCTTGCGACTTCTTTTTGCAAGCCCAAGGATTCGATCCTGCGTTTCGATTTCTGTCCCTTTCACATTATAATCTTATAACAAACAAATTCCATTCAATCTAAATGCTTAAACGACTCCACTATTCAGAAAGCCAGGAGAACAGTCGTTGACAAAATCACCAAGTGACTCGGAGTCTTCCCTGAAGGATGCGGAAGGGACAGATTCTCCGACGACCGCGTGAGCGCTATTAAATTTCCTTCTGTGCTGAGAATGCTTCTCCCTCTTCATGAAATTGATTTCAGAAACGAATTTGAGGATTGGGATGCAATTGACATGTGCTTGAAAATGATTGATGACATCCAAAGTGTGTGTGTTGGATAACACCTATTAGTTTTTTGATGCATCCGTAGTCAATTAACCTTGTTCGGGAATGAAAGCATTAGAGATCTTCATAACTGACTTGATGAACGATTGACTTTTTCGTCATTTTGCTGCGATTCGTGAGTCTCACCGTATTCCAGAAAGAGAAAAGGACACCTTAGTATAGACGTATAGACTTCTTAACCTTGATTCTTCATAGTTGAATGCTCCGTCCTCACTAGTTGTGCGGACCCAGTATAATTTCCATTTTTCGGAAATTTGCTGGCTAAGTCATTGTGGTTCCCTGGAATACCGAGGTCAGCCTGGCCAAAGTCTGTCTTAGGTCTTCACCACCATGGGCAGTCGCAGCCCTTGTGGATCAGAGGGAGATTTGCCACCATGCGACTTTGATACTAGGACGGTGTTGGATCCAGGTATGGGTTCCTGGTATTAGCTTACTCTTAGCGAGGTTTCCTGATGGAAACGCCGAACTCCTTCTCAGCTTGGGAGACCATGCCGGGGTGATTAATCTCCCTGCTGTACGTCGCACCCGACACCGAGGAACACCTACCAGCCACGACGAGGCGGTCAAGCGTTGGGAGATAACACAATATAGTTGATGCAAAACCACACCACTTTACTGCATTGGGATGAATAGGGTATGAATGGAAATTTAACAATTTTTTGAGCTCGTAGGCAATTTTTTGTAACCCATGTTGAAAAATCACACGATTTTGGCGAATTCAACAGAAATGCAAGGGCTTACGTTCGAAGTGCTGGAGAAAATGGAAGCTCTTTGTATTGATATGAGAAAAGTGGCAGTGGAACTGGGAAACACAATTAGGTTAATTCAGGTTTGCATATGCTTATTTAGAGTATCCAGGAAAGCAAATGATAGAGAGCACTTCAGAGTGGCGCAAGTCTGACCGAGGCGACACGCTCTAAACTTTCCATCAGGCTCATCTCAGCGCTCACTCGATTAACTGCGGATTCGGTGGCTACAGTACCGTCAGGAGAGATGCTCTATACGTTTAACGATGAAACTCTTGGTAATTTTTTAGAACTCCTAGATGATTCAACAATAATTGTGACATTTTTGTTTGAAGGAGCGAAGTTGTTGGAATTTGCCGACGAGGATTTTTCTATTGAAGTTAACTCGAATATGACATTGCATTCACTGAAAGCCACTTCTAATGTGGAAGAGAAGAAAAGGTTGGAGTCGTTTGTCTATTAAAATAAACGTAATGTGTTAAGGTGGAAATACAAAGCAAACGGCTACCAGTCGTTCCCAGGATCGACTTTCTATCAACCGCAGTACTGGAATATGAATGAGTCGTTTTCTTGTTCAGCAATCGCCAGGTCCTTATACAGCATACATTTACTTCCATAGAAAAACACAATACAATACAACGCTAGCTGACGTTTCGGCAGTATCGCCTTCTTCAGAGCCTGGAAGGGTATACTGATATACAATCTACTAGGCCAAACGCTTCAATAACACTTACACAAAGACGAAAAACTCTTCGGTAATTACATGATCAACAACCTCTCGAAGAAACCCACCGCTTTTTCCTGACTTCCAATGAGGAAGTTTAGAACAGCTGATTATAGTCGCATGTGGTTGATGACTACACCATCCCACATCAGAAATCGATGCGAACATACGGGATCAGGTCGCGTATGACCTCCGGGCATTCATCCCTGCTATTCATTGTAGGATTTTTGGCATTTACCCAAAAAGCCTTAAGAAGTTTTCGCGCTGGTGTTTTGAACACAATACAATACAACAGTAGCTAACGTTTCGGCAGTATTGCTTTCTTCAGAGCCTGGAAGGGTATACTGATATACAATTTACTAAGCCAAACGCGTCGATAACACTTAAAAAAGAAAAAATCTGTGGCAATTACATGATCAACAGCTTCTCGAAAAACACCGCTTTTTCGTGACTTCCAATGAGGAAGTTTAGAACAGCTGATTATAGTCGCATATGGTTGATGAGTGCACCACACCACATCAGAAATTGCCCATACGGGGTCGGCTCGCCTGTGACCTCTGGGTATTCCTCCCTGCTATTCATTGTAGGATTATTGGCATTTACCCAAAAAGCCTTAAGAAGTTTTCGCTCTGGTATTCTAGTCTCTTGCGTGAGGGTATTGACTTTTACTTCAAAATCGTCTCCGCTATGTTTTTGTACCCTATGCGCGCCTAGTGGGGTGCTTCGTCTTAGTTTTCGTTTGCCATCTAGGTGTTCTTTTATACGGATACACAAAGGTCTGCCCGCTTCGCCAATATATTCATCTCCACAATTGTTACAAGAGATCAGGTATATCATACCTGAACTCATGCAATCACCGTCCCTGCCGTAAGGGCAAATTATGCAATTTAGTGTTTCACACAGACGGTCATACAGGCGGTTACGAACTAACTGACGTTAAAGCGTCTATTAGTTTTTTCTAGATCTGCTCTTCTTAAGCATCGTTTTGTAGCTACGCTTTACTTCATCGCCAGTAACGGGCAACATGAACGGGACTTTTCTTTGGCCAAGCTTTTCGTTTTGGCGAGTCGCTCTCCTTCTAAACTTATCTTGTGTGGTTACCATTTCGTAGCCATTGGAGATGGCTATTTGCCGAGCCAAGCCGCGCGATTCTTCCTTTAGTTCTTTAGTTATGCACACAAAGGTGGCTGTTCGAAACATGTTCCTCACAAGCGCCCTCTTTGCGTGTGAAGGGTGGAAAGAGAGGAAATGAACCAGGATTTTTTGCCGCTTGGATTTCGGTATCAGTTCTTCATGTAACCACTACTTGATAAGTTGATTTAAAAGTTTAGAAATAGAAATCAGGTCTCTTTCGGCTTTTTCCGGGTGAATTTAATGTACTCAAATTGCATGTTCAATAATTCAAAGCATTTGTCCATCTCCTCCTGAGTAGAGAACCGGATACTCTACGGCGTCGGTGAGTTCGTAACCTCCTGTATGACCGTCTATATGAAACACTAAATTGCGCAATTTGCCCTTACGGCAGGGATGGTGATTGCATGAGTTCAGGTACGATATACCTGATCTCGTGTAACAATTGTGGAGATGAATATATTGGCGAAACGGGCAGACATTTGTGTATCCGTATAAAAGAACACCTAGATTGCAAACGAAAACTAAGACAAAGTACCCCACTAGGCACGCATAGGATACAAAAGATAGCGGAGACGATTTTGAAGTAAAAGTCAATATCCTTGCACAGGACACTAAAACACCAGAGCGAAAACTCCTTGAGGCTTTTTGGATAAATGCCAAAAATCCTGCAATGAATAGCAGGAAGGAATACCCAGAGGTCACAGGCGACCTGGCCCCGTATGTTCGCATCAATGTCTCATGTGGGGTGGTGCTGTCATAAATCGTATGCGACTATAATCAGCTATTCTAATCTTCCTCATTGGAAGCCACGAAAAAAGCGGTGTGTTTCGAGAAGCGGTTGCTCATGTAATTGCCATAGATTTATTCGTCTTTTTGTAAGTGTTGTTGAAGCGTTAGGCCCAGTAAATTGTGTATCAGCATACCCTCCCAGGCTCTGAAGAAGGTGATACTACTGAAACGTCAGCTACTGTTGTATTGCATTGTGTGTTTTTCTATGGAAATTACCAGTGGTGACTAATTAATGTGTTCGTCTTCTTAACTGGACTGATAATTTGTAAAAATTGACCGTCATTTAGCCTCGGTTTTAGTAATCAATATTTTCTCAGATTAAGAATCATTCGACTTCATTAAGCATCGATGGAGGTGACTGAATGCATATCTGGCCTTTACAATGACTTGCGGTAGCCTACCGATGTGTCCAGCCAGTACTGCTATCCAACCAGACAAGTCTGGTACCAATTTGCCGACGCTGGAGGTATGGAAGGCTTGGTGGGCCATGGGCGCAGGGACCGATTCCACGTGTGTGCTGCAGGCCCCTCCGACCACTGCGTCACTCGCGTCCCATAAATACGTAGATGTTGAATTATAATGCAAATGATTTTATTCTAGCAGTAAATAGAATTTCGTGCATCACTATTTTCAGTGAAGTTATTGGAAGCTGTCTCAAGATCTTAAGCAAAACAAGTCATCGTGAGTTCATTCATTCGATGTTGTTGACTGTGAAGCATTTTTAACGGTTTATTTGACTTTATAATAGCATACATTTGGAAACTATCTACGAATTTCCTTCATAGAAGCTGCTAGCTAGTCACGAGCTAACGTAGCCTCCACTCCCAGGTGCCGGATAGGAGTTGCTCGAAGACCAAAAGCGAGCTTTGCTTACCTGAGACGCAGGTGGATCCAGGAGATGAACTCCATGTTCCTTCTGTGCTGATCTGGCAAATACATTCCGTGTGTACGAGGATGTATTCCTGCGTACATGCGTGGGTGTGTTCTCGTCTTTTCGAATTCTGTTTTGTGAGTTAATTCGGCCACAACGTCCAGTCAAGTAGAAGGTGAGCATATGAGAGGCGGTTAGGAGTAGGGACTTCCAACAAATAACCTCTCCGTCTACTCTATGAGAGACTCGTAAGATACCTGTGATTAGACGTATCCCTATGCTCAGAGCTCAGCAAGTCATATGTGGGTAGGAAAAAGCTATAAGCGGCTCTCATTCCTTTAACCCCAAAAGTGCCCTCGAAGTGGCAGCGGTGGCTAAGGTGAGTACGGAGAGACTGCAGGACTGTATAAGACCTTAACACCTATGAAACCTTCCGCCAGCTCTCATAAAAACACTGGCTCGGCTCTTCACACGTTAGCTTGCGCAATGCAAGGTCCCGACTCAGTGGAAGACCAAGAAGACTGTGCTATAGTTCAAGAACGGTGACCTCCACGATATCGGCAGCTATCGCTCAATCTGCTTAGTGTCTGCCGTCTATAAGCCATTCACTCGAGTCATCCTAAACAGGATTGGCAGAACACTGAACGAAGGGCTGCCATGTGGGCAAATAGAGTTTCCAAAAGGACTCAGTACGATGGACCACATCCACACAATAACAACACTAAATGAAGCATTGCGAGTGTGTAAAAGACCGCTCTCTCTCTCTCTCTCAGTTTTATCGATTTAAAGACTTGGCTCAGTGAAGATATACGCAGCCATGGAAGCCCTGGACAGTCAGGGAATCTTTATAAAAATTCTTCCTGAGCTGCATGAAAATTTCGCAACCAAGATTTAACCATTCTACAACGATATTGACATCGACTTCAAAAGAAAGGTTGGGCAAATACCATCTTACCAAAATTATTTACCTCCACCCTCTAGAACGTCATACGAACATTGGAATGGGACAATATTGGAGTGAAAAACGATGGTGGGCAGTTACATCATCCTCGCTTTGCTGATGACATCGTTCTTATATAACACCAAACATTAGCCAAGCGAAATATATGGTTGCCGACTTAGATAAAGTCTGTGGAAAGATTGGTCTTCCACTAAATCTCACAAAAACAATGTTTATGAGGAACGAATTGGTTTCGTGTACCCCGCTCATGGTCAGCGGAATGGTTATTTCCGAGTGCTCCAGTTACGTCTATCAAGGTCGGAAAATCAACATGAGGAACGACTTAGCTCCAGGGCTAATCAGAAGGAAACGAGCAGCCTGGGTAGCTTTCAAGAGCATCGAGGATGCAGCGAAGAGAACAAGGAACGAGAGAGTTCGTGCCCACCTTTTAGACCCCACGGTTTCTCTCACCTTAAAGCATGCGTCAAAAGCTCGGGCGCTGCGTAAACAGGGTGAAAGATCATTCAGTTTTATTGAAAGCGCAATCGAAAGGCCGATGTTAGGAGTAGCCCATGTCACTCAAGTGGGGGAAGGTGTACGACGGTCCGATCTACGCCAACGATCAAAAATCACTGACGCTGTTCTATCCTCCAAACTAAAATATGGTGGGTCGGACAAGCAATGCGTATGAACGACGACAGATGGACGAAAGCCGTTAGCGGCTGGATTCCTCGTGATGTCAAACGTATTGTAGGAAGACTACCAAGCTGATGGTCAGAGTTCTTGACGTGGACTCTATGGTGTTCAACGAGTCGCCGGAGCGGGCAGAATCCAGTGCGCTATTCTCACAAGCGAAAAGGAAAAGTGGAAGATGTACTGGTATCGCTCGATGGTCAGCGAGAAGACAAGTGATACAGCTGATACAGGTGAAGATTATGTCGTTCATCACGGTATTGGCAGGTTGTGGTTGCTCGGCTCGTTTAGTGAACTGTTCACCTCTAAAACGCTTTAGAATAAATGGTGACTGTTCACAAACCTACGGTTTCTGTTAGCCCTTCCTCTAGAAAAGCAATTGTTTTGTAAAATGGGTGCAGTATTTTAGTAATGTAGAGCAAATAACCGATAATGCAGTACCCACATAATCTCATAGACGTCGTGCTGGTGACCTAGAATGGCGGCAGTACTTATGCCGAAACTGAAGCAGACAAGGCACAGAACAACTGGCGGAATGAATAGTCGACCTCTTCTAAATAAGTTCCTCTGTTTTCAAGTGAAAGTTAAGCAAATCTGCCCTTTTTTCAGCTCCTTCTCAGAAGACGACCGAAGCAGCAATAACACAACCCTCGTGCGAAGCAATAACGCCAGTTCAAAGCAACGCTATCCAACAGCAGGAGAATGATGAACGTGCAAAGTGACAATTCTTTCATCCAAACTTTTTTTTGTAAGCGTTATATATTATTCTGTTTTTCCTTCAGAGCCACAACCACTGTGATGGTGCAGTCCTCTACTAAAGCAGCTGCGTCCCAAGTCACCATCTCCACAGCAGGGTCCAGTTATAAATCACGTACCTCACTGCCACAAGGAAAAGTAAGTGGGAAAGTTCTGAAGAAGAAATCAAACGAGCTCCATATAACACGCTTTCAGTCACGTCGACAGCACAGAAGAACGCTTCCAGCTGTTCAGTGCCCGTCAGAAAGAATCAGTTTTTCAGTACGAGTCATATTTCTTTCCTGAGAAAATCGAATTTTGTAGACTGTTTACTTTTAAACGTGTTACATTCATTCAGGCTCTTGGACGTATGATAGTTCAACGAACCGGCGTACCTATTTCTCACTATGAGCCCCTCACTGCTCTGCAGGTGAGAGGATTGTGTATGTTCCACGAGTTGGATATGAAAGAAGAAACTTTTCTCAGCTACTCTGCGAAGAGCTGAGATTCGCCGATTTGTTGAATAAAGCCTGTGCTAAGGGAACAGCTGAAGAGAGGATGGTCTACGTAAGTCGTTTACCACCACCATAGTTAATAACAAAGACGAATAGGTGAAGCGCGAAAAGATTTCATCAAAGAGCCATTTCGCTAGCTTCTAGTAAAATGGGATGATTCTCATGGGCTTAATGTTTATTTTCACTAAAATTTCATGGAGGGGCTCGTGTGGCACAGTGGTCGGAGACTTCCTGCAACGCACACATAGGGTCGGTCTCCGCGCCCGTGGCTCATCAAGCCTCCCATCCCTCCAAGGTCGGCATATTGGTACCAGGCTCGCCTGGAAAGATAGCAGCACTGGTTCATATATCGGTAGGCCACCGCGAGTCATTGTAAAAGCCAAATATGCATTCAATCACTTCCAACGACTCTCAGCGAAGTCGAATGCATGGCGTATCCCTCTGGGATTGATCAACGCCGAGACCTTTATCCTCTTATTTTAGCTCCTAAAAATTCGTGGGTTTAAAAAGAATATCATAAGCATCGGTGAAAAATATAGCTTGACGACGAGCAAACTGAGACAAGCAGGCATTAAAATGCGTGGAACCCTCAGGAGGTCTTTAGAAATCCGCTGAAAACCTCGGTGTGCAAATCTTCCTCAAAGTCAACAAGTTTTCCCGACAAACTGTGCGCATTTGGACTTTAAACTAGTTGAAAATCATATTTCTACGTCTTGATTTATTTGGATGAAAATAGTAACGATCTGCAACCAACAATGAATATTGGACAAGTTTTTCTTTCTTAACTCTTTTATTTACTGCCTTTTTCTTCTTAATGGCAGGGTATGTTTCGAATTATAACTCGTATGAAATGCTGAGATACTGAGCTACCAAAAAGAAAAAAGCCGGACCCGGATGGTGTAGTGGTGAAGTGCGCTGCTCCCCGGTAAGGACAAGAGCGCGTGTTCGTTCCCCACTGCATACACCTGTGGTCCGGAGTTTTGCAAATATCTCAGCATTTCATACGAGGTTTTCTTTTCCAAACAACGAATCCGATCCCAAACTTTTGTTTTTCAATGTTTACTTTTTTATTTAGTGCCTACTACAATTTCTACGGCAGAATATTATGCTAAATCAACTACAACGATGATGAGATATTCGCAAAACTTGGACCCCGGGCCAGATCGAACCGCGATTTCCCTTTCCAAGGCTCGTGGATTACATGGCTCGATCTGGCCCGCGGTCCAAGTTTTGCGAAAATCTCACCATCGTTGTCGTTGATTTCGCATAATGTCCTGCCGTGAAAATTATAGTGGGCGGTAAATAAAAAAGTAGACAATGTGATTTCGACTGCAACCTCAGCTTAACTGGGTTCAATGCCGATGTGGGCCCACCAGATCAACCCCCGCTGACGGTTGTTTGCTGGTGGTATCGTTAGGTAGAATACTTACTTGATACTTGATACTTGAACGGCCTGTCCTCACTAGTTGTGTGGACCCCAGCATAATTTCCATTTTTCGGAGATTTGCTGGTTAAGCCATTGTGGTTCCCTGGAATACTGAGGTCAGCCTAGCCAAAGTCCGCCTCAGGTCTTCACCATCACAGACAGTCGCAGCCCTTGTGGATCAGAGGGAGATTTGCCACTATGCGACTTTGATACTAGGACGGTGTTGGATCCTGGTATTGATTCCTGGTATTAGCTTACTCTTAGCGAGACTTCCTGATGGAAACGCCGAATTCCTTCTCAGCTAGGGAAACTCTGCGGGTGGGGACGAATCCCCTTGCTGTACATCGCAGTCCGACACCCAGGAACACCTCCCAGCAACGATAAGGTGGTGAACCGTTGGGAGGAGGTAGAAGAGTAGCTGAGAGAAATGCTGAGCAAAGGCCTCCATGGGGCAGTGTGTAATGACGAGCCTTGGAAAGGGAAATCATGGTTCGATCTGACTCGATGTCCAAATTTTGCGATTACCTTGTTTTCTAGTTTGGCTATCTATAATTAGTAAAGTTTTATGCATCTGTTCTACCTTTACCTGTTTAATGGAAAAATTTGTGATAAAATTGGCAATTGGTCGAGTTCGAAACTATAGTTCGTTACAGCAATCCAAGTTCACAGGATTTCAACTCATAAATTCCTATAATCCACATTTTCGGTTTTCGGCTATTCGTAGTTCTGATACGAAATTGCAAACATTCAGCTGCTGTTCGTACATGCTGTAGTGTCACCTTCAGGTAGCTGCATTTGCTTTGTCACCGTATACCAATTCGACAGGACGATATCGGAAGTTTTTCAACCCATTACTTGGTGAAACGTATGAGTACGAACAAGAAAACTTCAGATATCACGGAGAACAGGTGTTTTACGGTGTCGCTCGTATTTAATTCGAGAGATAAAACCGACATTGCTCGCATAGGTTTCACATCATCCAGCCGTCTCCGCCGGACATGCCACTGGCAATGGGTGGACGTGGTACCAGACATTCAGTGCGTTGAATTTCGCCCATCGTTAGGCACTAATGAAGGGTTATGTTTCAAATTGTCAGGTGCTGAAGTGACTTGGAATACTTGGGCTCAAACATGCGAATTTGTGCCGGAGAGACCCATTCGCCTTCAGCTTACTGATGAAGAGTACATGTGGAACAAGGTGCACGTAGTGAGAAGTTTCCCAGGGATCACCAATTAAACACACGAGCATTTCAGATCACTACCCACATTGAGGGTCTCCTTTGTGTACCCGAACAACGAAAATTATACCACGAAGGCACAATCTGCGTGAAATGCTCGAATGGAGTGAAAGCCACAATAAATGTCGCTAGGAATAAGGTATTCAAGAGCACTTTTGACAATTCTTCGTATTTTTGTTGAGCAAACGCGATGTGTTATTATTCTTTATTCACGAATAAGCTGACGTTTCGGCGGATTTCGCCTTCCTCAGAGTCTGGAAAAGTCGAGTTGATAGCAATCTACTCGGCCAGACACCTCCATAACCAAACAAAGAAACTCTAAACCAAGATTTCAATCACATTGAACACAGCTTTGCACACTCACCGCTTTCTACGAGGTTTCCACTAAGTATGTCAAGTAGAGACCAACCGCACAGAAATCACATAGAAGCATAATATGCCCCCCCCCCATCAGAATAGCAGTCTTATATACTGCCCTATATCACGCGTGATAATGAGGCATTCTTCCCTGCGGTTCATTTTCGGATTTCTGGAATTAATCCAGAATGCCTTGAGAGTTTTTCGCGCCTGTGTTTTACTCGGTGGTATTTCAACTACGCTTACCGAATTCTCCAAACCCGCCCTTCTTAAGCAGCGTTTTATAGCTGTACTTATATCATTTGAGATGAAGGGTAGGATAAATGGGACCCTTCTATCGCTAGAGTTGTTGTTCGGAGGCCTAGGATTTCCTCTACACCTATCCTGAGCTACAGTTTCGTAGCCACTGGAAATGGCTATTTGCCGTGCCAAGTTCCGGGACTCCTCTCTCTGCTCTCTTCCCGCGCACACGTTGATTGCTGTTCGAAACATGTTTTTTACAAGTGCTCTTTCCTTCACCTAGCCGGCAAACATAAACCAAATACCCCGCTAGGCACCCATAGGACCCAGAGACATAACGGGGACGACTTCGAAGTATGTGTCACGATCCTCACACGCGAATCAAGAACACAGGCGCGAAAAACTCTCGAAGCATTCTGGATTAATTCCAGAAATCCGAAAATGAACCGCATAGAGGAATGCCTCATTATTACACGTGATTTGGGCAGTATATAAGACTGCTATTCTGATGGGAGGGGCACATTATGCTTTTATGTGATTTCTGTGCGGTAGGTCTCTACGTGACATACTTAGTGGAAACCTCATAGGAAGCGGTGAGTGTGCAAAGCTGTGTTCAAAGTGACTGAAATCTTGGTTTAGAGTTTCTTTGTTTGGTTATGGAGGCGTCTGGCCGAGTAGATTGCTATCAACTTGACCTTTCCAGGCTCTGAGGAAGGCGAAATCCGCCGAAACGTCAGCTTAATCGTGAACAAAGAATAATAACACATCGCGTTTGCTCAACAAAAATACGAAGAATTACTTGATCAATGCCGAGGTTAATAGAAAGTCGGTCGTGGGAGTTACTTTTGACAATGCTTTCCAATCCTTAGCGGATGTTAAGACAAGGCAGAAAAGGATACAAGCTAACCTTAATTCCTTTAGTTCAACAATATGTTATAAAACAGCTACCGCCATTCTATGCCTAATGGCGGTTTTTAGGAAATATCAGGAGAGGTCACAAGTGCTGAAGGGAAAACATTCTGCAAACTCTCGGGAAAGTGGGATGAGCGGCTATGCAGGTAACGTTTCGATAGGAACGAGGCCTCTGGAGAAATAGACCTATGGCTTTTCAGAGAGCTGGATGGTGGAGAAAAAGAGCAATTGATAATGATATCAGAGTGGCCGTTGTTTCCAGAATACTTTGGATTCTCGGATTTCACAATGAGATTAAACGAACTACACGACGAGGATCGTGATTTCCTACCACCCACCGACAGCCGATTCAGGCCGGACGTTAGATGTCTGGAAGAAGGAATGTTGGAGGAGGCGGTTGAATATAAAAGGTGTCTGGAACAGGTGGGTATTCTATAAGGAAAAGCTGTAGCCTTGCACAGTTTAACAGCAGAGTTGGATGCGACTGGTCAAGTATCACATAATTCACACTGAAATTTTTGTACCACTCAGTGTTCAAGGGATTCTTTCATTCAATCACCTCGGTCATTCTGGTCACCCGGGTTCCAGAATCATCCAGAATTTCCCAGCACTGATATAAAGTGGAGAGTCAAAAACGAACATGATGCATCATGGGAAAGTAATAACCGCTGTACACTAATCTTCATAAGATTGGAATAAACCGCAATAAGTTTGAAAAATGCTCCACTACACTTAACACAAACGCAACAAGAATATGCCAGTGCGGACAGTGCGCATCTAAGTCAATGCATATCGTCCCGATCGTGTTGAAGCATTTTCTGCTTCAAGATTTGTACTGCGCAAATCAATCCACTCCTATTCCCAAGAAACAGAATCATTTTTAAACACTGTCCTTTTAGGCCCAACGTGATCGCGCTATCAACCAGGAAACACACAAGCCGCTCTGGTTTGTCCAAAAGGAGGACAGTTTCACAAACAAGAAAATTTTCGTATCTACAGGAAAATACTGGAAAGCGAAAGAAACAAAGTTTGAGGAGCAGAAGAAAGACAATGCTTTTATGCCAATATTCAAAGTGTCGATTACATAACAATATATACTTAATTAAATGCTGATTCTTTCCGACTGTGTTGTGCTGCCATCGATGCACCCACATAGCAACGATTCATCCGATTCCTCGAGAAGAGCAATGCGAGCTGCGCGAACGATGCCCTGACGGAAGCGCTATGCATTCGACTTCATCAAGCATAGTTTGGAAGTGATTGAACGCTTATCTGGCCTTTGCAATGAATCGCGGTGGCCTACCGATGCATCGAGCCAGTGGTGCTATCCTCCCAGATAAGTGTGGTGCCAATCTGCCGACCACGGGTGGATGCAAGGCTTGGTGGGCCATAGACGCGGGGAACGATTCCACGACCCCATTATGAACGTATTACCGCGCACATATTGACATGCTTTGCAGACCAGTTCGTTGATTGATTGATTGGTGATCCGTTGATTTCCGGATGTTTACGTTATCTCTTCATTATATTTCTTACGCCTATCTTTACCCAATAGGCGAGTGTAGCACAGTGATTAGAGGTGATAACGAATACGCAACCGTTGGCTCAATGCCGCATCGTCACAAACTACGCCCTCCATTGATCTAGGGTTACCAGATTTGTAGTAGAGTTGTCTGCCATGAGAAAAACAATGGCTTGATAAATATACGCTAGACATGAACTCAATCAAATGTTTTGCTTGGCGCATCCTTCAGCTATTGTTCAATGCCGAAAGCTTTCTCCTTTTATGCATTTACTAGTGTATGTGTATCCCAATATCTAATCAAGATGTAACCGATGAAGTGTTCCACATAGGTCAGCACGGTGTAGTTTGTGGCTTAGGTTACCCTGTGGTCGACAGCAGAAGTAAACCACTTGTGCTAGGTGACCTTCAAGATTACATTTGATTCGGGTAACAATCACGGTTATATAAACAGGATGGCCAATCCTAACGAATCTACCCCACCATAGTTTATGGAAAACTGCTCGAGTGGTTTAGTCGCTGAAGTTGGAGGTATTCTTGGTGACCTTTACCACGTCGTCACAACACCACTGGTATTCACCAGGCGGTATGAATCACCGAAACTTCTGCTACCTTCTGAAAATGTTCTCTTCAGAAGGTGGTATCCTAGCCGAGCTTTCGGAGGAAGAGCTCGAACACCTCATCGCCTGCAATCCTGAAGAAGGATTTACTTTGAGTTGTACAAATAGGCCCCGGAGATGATGACGAAACAAAGAGCGCTATCAAAAATCGTGGTACTCAGAGGAAGGAATGCAGAATCGCAGTGTTCACCGCAGTATTTTATAAACCCAAGTATTTCATTATTCTTAAGACGTTCTTTTTCCGCCGATTTATTTAATCACAATTTTTTTAAAACATGACCCGTCATCACTTCTGCAGTGCGGACCCCAGCACTTATGTGTGTTTGAATTGCTTCCCTCGCACTCAACGTCCACAATGGTCACCGAACATTTCGCGTGTAAGTTCAGCTGCTGCTTGAGGAGTTCGTCTTCTTTATGAATGTCCTAGGATGTTAGTCGAGTCAACCTAGTCTTCGAGATGGCCGGACTAGGGCGTTCCGAGGTGGGCTGGAGAAGACCATTGCGGTGAAGACCGAAATAGCGTCTTTGCTTCCCAAGCGACGCCATCACTATTCACTGCGCTGTCTCACCACCCCATTAAATAACAGTAACCACTATAAATGAAATAAGCAAACGTATTTGCGTGGATGCACCACCGTCCTAGATCAAATTAGTCGCATGTTGGCAAATCTCTCTTAATCCACATGTGGGACGACCTAGGACAGACTGCCCTGGTTGACCTCGGGGTTCCAGGGAACCACAAGAGGTAAACCACCAAAACTCTGAAGCAATGGAAATTACGCTGGGGACCGCACAGCCAATGAAGACGGGCCATCCAAGTAGCCAAGTATATGTTGATAATTCTAAGCTCTTTCTGATAGAATCAACCAGAACAAGTATTCATCCTTACTAGTGCTCTCCTCAATTTTTGATGCACCATCTTTGTGGGAACTGTTGTTGCTATGAATGATTAAAAATCTTTAAGTGAGAAGCTTATCAAAAGAACGGAAAACGGAAGCAAAGTCCTTTGTGGAATGCTAAGGCTCCATTGACACCTAACAGTTGGTATTTTGTCTCATTCACGTGATATGTTCTTTTGTCCATTCTTTATTACACCAGGGCGTGTGTAGCGCAGTGGTCGGAGACGCCCTGCAACCCGTGTGGGATAGATCCTCGCGCCCAAAGCTCACCAAACCTTGCATCCATCCGGGTTCAGCAAATTGCTACCAGACCTGCCTGGTAGGGTAGCAGCACTGGCCCGATACATCGGTAGGCCACCGCGATTCATTGTAAACGCCAAATATGCGTCCAATCATGTCTAGCGGTGCATAGTGAAGTCAAACGCATGGCGCATCGTTTAGTGATCGATAAACGACGACAGCCTTATCCTTTGTCCTTACTGTTTGCATTATATTTGTTTACCTTGGTGCATTGATTTTTTTATGTTTACGTTTCACATTTTGTCCTGTTCGTACCATATGGAACACACAAATCGCATGAACACCTATGGGCACTCCACTCGACTCGAATCGTTGCGAGCATGGAGAAGACGAGGGTGCTGAGACATCAGCTGCAATAACGATTTGGTATCATCCTCGTTTAAGCTCATGAATAAGGCAAAATATTGATTGTCCGCGCCGAGGTCGAATGAAAGTCGGTCTTTAGAAGCTGGAAGTTTCCAGAACTATGGCTTAAGACATGGATGCAGGCAGCATGGTCAAGCCATAGGTCCATCCTCATCCAACATTCTGCATGCTATCGCCAGAACCTTCATACCTCTTTGTGGACGACAAACGACAACCCAGAATGCAAACGCAGCCAGCGGCCGACGGTGCGGCGCGCGCTAGGTCTCCCTTTGTCGATTTGGTGGTCCTGCAACGAGGCACAGCTGTGTCTTGGGTCTATCGTAATGGTTCGCGGCTTCACTATTACTTTTAACCGCTGCGTGATATCTTATTTGGGGCTGTTTCATTGTTTTGTGAGACTGTAAGAACTTTCTGCTTTGGAGCGTGATGTAGGAAATCGAGAGACGGTTGGTCTAATTGTTCTTGAAGAATGTAAACGGAGTTTCCATCTCTATAATCAAGTCATTGGTGATTCCATCTGAAAGTCGATCTGCCTGTTTTTGCGTGAATGGTGTTTTCTATGGTTTTATAGTAAACTTCTTTTTCATTGTAAATCTTCGTCTTGTTCTGCGTTTGATTCCTTTTAACCTGGTATAAACATGTAAAAAATCACTTTAAAACCCTTCATTGTTAAGGTGGAATGGTCAACGTCCCTAAGGCAAGGAGGACATTTTGTGACGGTAAATGCCGTAAACATACGAATCATAAGGTTACCCAATACAAGAAGGGTAAAGAATCGAAGTTTGCCCAAGGTATGATTCACATTTTCGTGAGTTGGAGTTTTTCTTTGTTTTTTTTTCTTTTCTTAACATTTGGTTGCTAAACGACATAGATGAACGAAACAGGCTTTTTTCGCTACTTTCTCTATAATCAGTGCTGGTTTTGCACTATAAATGCTTTGATGTAGCTGGGACATCGTTTAAGGTCCCTCCTTCATAAACCGACAGAGACCCTGCGTTGGTGCACTGGTGAAGGATTTTGACATATTAGTCGCGAATTCCTAGTTTAGCAAGTTGGTAAATGTTAGAAAGCGATACCTTGCTCACGCATTGTTTCGCGACGGTGTGGATTAGACTAGTTGTATTGGGAAATGTCACTATTGAAAAATCTACCATTTACAAACACTACGCAGAGCAGACAGTTCTTAGGTTTTAGTATATCTTCCACTGCGATGACTGATTACCTTTTTGTTTCCCAGTACGTGTCTACTTCGTATCCTGATTTGTAACTATAAAAGGAGCCACTCATTCTACGGAGAAGAGCAGGTCTGCGAAAAGCTTGAGGTTTTTGGATACAAGCTGCTAATGGAGTGTTATCCACCCAACAGTTTACCGCCTCATCGTGGCTGGAAGGTGTTCCTGGGTGTAGGGTTGCAATGTACAGCGGAAGGATTTGTCTACTAGCAGGGTCTCCTAAACTAAGAAGGAGTCCGGCGGTTCCATCAGGAAGCCCAGCTAAGAGTAAACCAATACTAGGATCCGCCACCATCCTTGTATCAAATTGTTCGCGTGGTGGCAAATCTCCCTTTGATCCATAAAGGCGGCGTTTGCCTTTGGTAGTGACGACATGGGGCAGACTTTGGCTAAGTTGACCGCAGGACTCCAGGGAACCACAATGGCTAGACCACCAATACTCCCAAAAGATGGAAATTATGCTGAGGCCTGCGCAACAAGTTGAGACGGACCGTTCAAATATCAAGTAGGTAATGCAGTGCTATGCCTACTTAGCACTGTAGAGGCAGTTGAACTAGTCGAGTTGTGGAGTTTCGGCAGATGTGACTGATAAATTTACGTTCTACACCTTCAGCCAACATTATTTTCTATTTTCTTATTTTACTGTCACTTTTTTTCAAAAAATTATTAACTTAGACAAATTCTCCGTCGTGCAATTTCATGACTCTTTGTTATATTTGTACCATAGGCCTCTAATTTTATGATTTTTCGCGAATTAGTGGCCACGTATTTTTCGTCACCGTTGTACACGTTTTATCCTCGTGAGTTCAGGAGAATTGGTTCCAGTTCCTGCTATTATAGTTCAGCTTTTAGAGTTTCTGATTTGCCATGGTATAGCTGCTAGCTGCAGTGGTTAGAGGCGCCACTTCGACATGCACGTGGAGTCGATCCCAGCATCCATTGCCCACCAAGCCTTCTATCCCTCCGGTCGGCAAATTGGTACCAGACTTGTCTGGGAGGGTAGCAGCACTGGCTCGATACATCGGTAAGCCACCGCGAGTCATTGTAAAGGCCAAACATGCATTCAGTCACCTCCATTGATACTTAATAAGTCGAATGCATGGCAATCACTCAAAGACTGATCAATGCCGAGAGCTTTATCGGTTTTATCATTTCATAGCTGCTGCTTTCATGTTTTCCTTTTTTTCTTGGTTTTCTGTACTTCCCAATCTAGTGGACCTCCCAACGGTTTACCGCCTCATCGTGACTGGAACGATTTCCTGGGTGTTGTGGTGCGATGTACAGCTGGGGATTCATCCCTTCAGCATTGTCTCCTAGGCTGAGAAACAGTCAGGCATTTCCTACAGGAAGCCCAGCTTAGATTAAACCAGTACCAGGATCAACCACCGTCCTGGTACTAAACTAGTCGCGTAGTGGCAAATCTCCATTTGATCCACAAGGGCTGCGACTGCTTGTGGTGGTGACGACCTTGGGCGGTCTTTGGCTAGGCTGACCTTGGGACTCCAGTGAACCACAATAGCTGAACCAGCAAAATTCCAAAAAAATGGAAATTATGTTGGGTCCTCACAACCAGTGAAGACGGACATCCAAGTATCATCTCAGTGCTATGGTGTACAATTATACGATTATCTTTTACGGTTATGGTGGTCACAACGCATGTATACGTGCACTGCTATTGAAACACCATCGTGATGAGATCTGCAGCTGTTTTCGTTTTATTAGGAAACTTTTTCATGGTGACAGAATCTGGCTCTGAATTCACTTGAAATGTTGAATTTAATGAACTTCATCTTGCTATTAATGAGCTTGTTGAAAAGCCGTAGTCGTTGTGTTGCAGTTAAAGTGAGCACTATCTCTGTTAAGAAATGGTACGCATATTTAAGTTGTATTGTCTTGGTCATGAACTGTTACGTAACCGGAGATAGTTTAACATTTCATTTCAAAATAAACTACTTTCACCCTATCCTGGAGCTCTTAAACCGAATCAAAATATATAAGGGAGGATAGCAGTGGTAGTGATGCCGATCATTATGAGCAAGGTGTTGGTTTAATCCCGCCCAAACTCACCAAACCTTTTATATCTTCCGGGTCGGGAATTTGATAATGGACTTGTAAGGGGAAAACCACTCTCTCCAATCCACTTGGGAAAGCGATCTCAGGTCTCCAGTTATAATTAACTCAGCCAGCATTCTACGACATTCAAGATGAGAATCTTTAAGCAGCATTGGAAGCCACACATAAAGTTGAAAGGCGTTCGTGGAAAACGGATGCGAGGAAACGAATCAAATGTGGGAAGTGGTGGGATCGGCACAGTAGACGTGAAGCCGGGTCGTATAAAATAATGGAAGCATGCACGTACGTATATGTGTACGTATGTACATATATACATATATGCGTAAATAGGCTGAAGTAATAGAGCTAAGTATCCTCAATATATCTCTCAAGGTCTCAATTCTTCGGATTATCTATCGAGCGGTAGGTACCAGTAATTAGCGCAAAATGCGAATTATCGCAAATACTCTAGTGAATTAGTAGTAGCTAATATTGAGCCATGAACTCCGTTTTATTAAAATCGGTTTTATTTTTGCAGGTCGACGACGTTACGATCGTAAGCAGGCTGGGTTCGGTGGCCAAACCAAGCCCATTTTCAGAAAAAAAGCTAAGACTACCAAGAAGATCGTTCTTCGCATGGAATGCACAGAGTGCAAGCATAAGAAGCAGTTGCCCATCAAGCGGTAAGTGTAGAATTTTGTAAAAACTATATTTCGCGTCAAATGTTGCGTGTAGCGTTAATGGTTGTCAGTGGTCTTCAAAGTTACTTCATGATAAATTAGGGTTGTCTTTTACCACATTTGTATTGCAACGATGAGTAATTTGCATTTTACGTTACCAAGTAGGATAAAAAATTTTGTATTTCTGTGCGTAGTGAAGGTTAGCGTAGTACGTAGTAAATTGGTTAGATTTTTCGGGTGTGTTCGAGTTTGAAGTATTTTGTTGGCCATTTTTAATATTTGCAAATACAGGATTACACAAATTTTAACAAAGCGTTGTCCATAAAAGGATGTCATTCATTTATTGTTTAGCTTCAATGAAGCGTTCTGGCTTAACTGTCTCTTAATTTTGATCGTTTTCTAGGTGCAAGCACTTCGAGTTGGGAGGACAGAAGAAGGCACGCGGACAGGTTATTCAATTCTAAATTCGTAGTTTGTTGTTGTTGTTACCTCCTCAATAAAACATAAGTTTATAGTCCGTTTTGTTTTCGCTTCTATGAAGACGGTCTTTGTCCATATTGCTAAGTTGGTGGTTAAAGAAAATAAATTGTTCTTAGAAACTGTTGTGAGATGTGAAATTTGCAGAAATAGGCTGCCTTGAGTGGACGTGAACCCTCAATTTAATAGCTCCTTTGGACATCGCCAAGTTGGAAACGTTCAAGCCTCAGTACCATGGACGGGGTGCGGGTTCTGGATACTTTTGGGAAAGGTCGGTATTCTCCCTGTCCACGTGAGAAATGTATTTCTCTGATTCATTGAGATGTCGAACAAAATGGTACCATATCGCAGTCTAGTCTCCATGAGAGTAGTAAGCTTACTACTTGGGAGTATAGTGGGTTCGGTTTTCTGTCGGCTTTCTTGGGTATAATTTCATCTTAGGCCCGTTTGAGGTTGTTTCTCAGTCTTACGTGGCTTGATGTTTTTTGTAGGGTAATTTGGTAGTAATATTTCGAAACATTGGTAGTTTTTGTGACCCTAAGGCAGGTGAAGAACTTGGATGGGAGCATGTACGGATACTTATAATTCAAGGTGTGTTGTGAAATAAAAGATTGGTTAAGTGTTGTATACCATTCGTTCTGTTGGCGAGATGGTTTCGATTGGCCGAGACCGGAAGTGTGGTATAGCTCTAGCTGTTGATGCCCATGGTGTTTCCAGAATTCACGGTTCCCTGAAATGGAGTTCTCAGGTATTCATTAGCCCAAACACATTATGGTGTTATCTGTTTGCTTTACAGAATGAAGTAACCTTACAAGATAACAGTACTTATGGAACGGTGGTGAATGGAAGGTTGGTGAAGGGTGCATGTCAGACACTGCAAGATGGGGCGCATATTTTTGTTGGAGATGTTGAACTTGTCATTGTTTTTCCACAACATCAACACAGAGTCTCGTCATCTTCGGGTAGCAAGCCGACAACAATTGATCAGGTTCAGTCAATTTTTTCGAGAATCTAGGTCGGAATCTCCTTATTTCGGGCATGAATGGCTTTTAGGATTTATCATTGAAAAGAAAAGGAAATAATAACGATATAATTGGGAAGGGAAGCAAGAAGTCGAAATTGGAAGCCAAGGGTAACATGCACTGTTCGAGGCAGCCACAGGTAAATTATTTTTCTGCTTCTTCTTATTTTATATTTGGGGCCTTTGGTATTTTCACTGTATTTTTAGTCGTGCCCATTTCTCGTTTTAGATTTCATCGTTTTTTGTGAAAAAATCATGCACTGTAAATGTCACTGATGACGACTGCATTACACTGGCAGAAGAAACTCCGCAAAGGTAGATGAAATTGCTGCCGCTCGGTTTTAATTATGTCTTTGTTCTTGTCGTTTATTGTATATTCAATTTATTTGTTTATCTAGCCTGCTTCCAGTCAGATGCCCGAATCCGTGGAAAATAATCCAGAACAAATGGTATCTTTTGTTAGCGATTCAGCTTCTTCATCCAAGGGTTCTACTAAACTATCGTACTGGAAGCCAGGTGTCATTAAACACAAAGTGATCTCATAAAACTTAAGCTTTTAATGATTTGTAGGGAGTCGCGGCACTTCAGGTCCTCAAAATACGTCATCTGGATTTGTTAGGCGCAAGAAGGTTTTTTTTCCGTTTCCTTGGTATATTCAAAGTATGCCCGTGTTATATCCCAGAGAACTTTCCCGCAGCTGTTTCTCGGACCTATGCTCTTGTGAATCCAGTTGTGACGCTGCCCAATATAAAAAAATTGGTTTAATTACCCAAGTTTTGCTTGGTCTCGTAATCTATGCCCGTGTTAATATGCATTTACAGATTTAGTCTTTAGCAGTGCATTTTTGATGTCAACATGCAGCCACCCTCATATCACTCTACGCTGGTGTTCGCTGAAGATTCACAGAAGGTCCATTCACCGAGGATTAAGAATCGTTCTGGTATGGAAGTTGCTGAAACAAACAAAGATATAACGTCTGTACAGGAAACTTACGAGCAATCGTAAGTCTAAAAATGGATTCCTCTCCTGTTTGTTTTTACGACTGATTGGTAAATATTTTTGAGAATGTTTACTTAAGCATGCAGTCATCAGATTGTTCATCGAAGTTGAGCTCAACACTGGATTTTAGAAAGGTGCGTGTAGTTGTTCGGATTTTTTCACTATTTGAGTATTTGATATGTGAATTTGTTGAAGGAGGTCTCTTCACATACCTCAACGGCTTTTGGCAAACAGGTTTCAGCATTACACAACGAGACAAATACATTAAACGCAACGGATAACGTTTATGGTAATTTTATCCATAAGATGCAGTCATTTCTGTAATAAGTTTTGTTCACGAGAGAACTTAAGCTTTTAATCAGTTCCAGTTTAGTTTGAGAGATATGCAACTGGATGATATAAAAATAATGGCTGTTTTTAATTTCTCAGCTGTTTTGAAATAGTGTAATTCAGCTGAAGCAACACTTGATTAATCAAATTTGGAGCAGTTTGAATCCGCATACTTTTGCCAGCAAGATGCAAGGTTACTTTTCGGTGACCTGAAATCTCCGGAAGTAATGAGTTTTCAAAAGATATATATCTTCAGCGCATTAGTTGGTGAAGATTTTCGCAGACAATAAGCGTTGAGGTGTTTGAAAGAAGTGATTGTTGATAGCTTGATGTACAGTGGATGTTTTCGGTCGGATAGGGTTTCATAGCCCGGTTCAGAGAACTTTTCCAGCGTTAGCAGTATAAGATGTGGTCGAGCATAGCCATGTAAGAGGACTGAACCTTTTTTGTTGGTCTTGTCTTGGAGGCACACGATGCATTTTTGCAGGGTTTCGTCGATTTGGTGACAGTACTTCTCTTCTGTGGTCGTATTATTGAAGTTCAAGTGGTTTTATTAGATGTTCCCATCTGCTAAAAAGAAAAATTAACCTGCATTAGATACAAATTCGGTCTTAGAAAAAATTTAGGAATTTAATTCCATTCAGACTTCTCTTCAGGTCTTCTTCTGTTGTTTTACGTGATCCATTTTTCATCACGCTTCGCAAGCCGATCGAGAAATGAGTCTTTTTATTGTGTAAAAGCACAGAGCACAGTGGTATACGACCTCGCTGTTATTGGTTCAATTCATACATTTATCGGTCATTTACACCTTTCCTATGTGTTTCGAACTGCAAACAATTGTTATATCGTGAATGTTGTGTGTTTGATTAGAATCACTCAAGTATTTGGCCATACTCAACTTCCCTTGTCATCTTCAGATGGTCGTTGTCAATTGTTGATACTGACTCGACGTTTTCCGTGATGAAGATTCATATTTCCGGTGCGATACCTTTCGAGCAATCTACGAATTGGTCGCTCAGAAGATTTCGGTGGCCTATTCTTTGGTGGTGTTTCGGGTTGTTGCCGTTGTGTTATGCCCACATTTGAACTCATGTATCAAAACGATGGAATTTTCCTGTTTTGACATCACTATTCCAACTAGTTCACAACTTCTGTAAACGAATTTTCAGAGGATCTATATGGCAAATTGTTATTCAAGAAATCACCTCTAAGTGCTGTACATGAATAATGTAAACAGCAAATATTTGTTCTGAATTTTCAAACTCAGTAGCGATAGAAACGAGAGGCAGATAGAGTGGTGGTAGAGTTGACGTTCAATATGTGTAAAGCCCTAGTACGTTCCCACATAGCACACTCAAGCCTTTCATTTCTATAAGTTCAGGGAATTGGTGGCAGGAAAAACTCTTGAAGAAGTTTGCTCTGATCGACAAAGACTGCATTGACTAAAATGACGATCTGGGTCTCCCACCAGCGCGACTAATCCAAGATTCTGGGGAGAATCGACTCGAATGCAGTCAACGGCATTAGTAAAGATGACGAAGGTCTTCAAGGGATAGGTGAACTCACACGCAGAAGTCCATAAACCTTCGTGGATGATGGATGCGTTGAAACTCATCGAATGAAACAAGTACTGAGATCCAATGTGATACATGTGAATTCGGGCCATGTAAAAATTGCTGATATAAATGGCCATTATTTTTGTATGGACGTATAGAAAACGTAATTTGGAGGGAACTGAAAATTGCTTTTGAATGATGCACACACTTCTGTATACGGACACATATTTATGGCACCGTCACAAATGACCACTTCTCTTTCTCTCATTCAGTTTCAGTGGCAAGTCGGAAAGCTTCTCTAAATTTCGCATCGAGGAAAAATTGCAGTTTCGATGGATATTCATCGTGTGTCCCTATGAAAAAGAGTGAAGACAGCAACTTTTCTTCTGAAAAAAATGTAGCAGATATGATGGATGAACCTAATGTTGTAAGTTTTCTATGCACCATTTATTTAGTTACATGTTTACTGAAAAATAGGAGATATCCTTCCTTTCTTAGCGCATAACTTTGGTTAGTGTCATTTTTTAAAATTAGCTTCAAATACGTGTGTTATGTTAAAGTAAAGTACATCAATCGAAACGCAAACCATCAATATCTGCGTCTCACTTTCAACGAGGTCTTTCAATTCTGTCGCGTGGTTATTTTAAGCTTAGTTACCCCATGAACCATACTTTTGACTTATGATTAGTTTACAATTAATGCCTCCCAACGGTTTAGCGCCATCGTGGCTGGGAGATGTCCTTAGGTGTCAGGCTGCGATGTACTTCGAGAGATTCATACCACTGGCAGGGTCTTCCAAGGTGTGGAATCCGGTATTCCCATCAGGAAGCCCAGCTAAAACTAAACAAACACCAGGAACCACCACCGTCATGGTATCAAAATAGTCGCATGGTGACGAATTTTCCTCTGATCTACAAGAGCGACGACAGCCTGTGGTGGCGACGACCCGTAGCAAACCTTGGCTAGTCTGACCTCGGGATTTCAATGAACCACAATGGCTAAACAAGCAAAACTCCGGAAAAATGGAGATTATGCTGAGGCCCGTGCAACCAGTGTTGTCGGGTCCTCCGAGTATCCAATTAATCATTAGATTTCTTATTTCAATGGTATATGTATTATTTCAATACTGTATTCATTAATACAGCAGGACCATTAAAGTTACAAATTTTTGCCAAACGCTTGTGAGATACAACCGTGTTTACTCCGATAACTTACAACTTTGGAGTTCTGTACGTGATGAATTTTTCGAAAAGGTTTTGAGCACCCGTTAGATTGTGGGTTTTCCTAGGAAATAATTACTGAATTGCTTGAAAATGGGCAATTTGGCTGGAGGTCTGGTGAATATGATAAGTAAAGTGGAGTTTGTTGCACATTTCATCCAGCTTCAGCCCGGTTGCCCATTAAGTGGTCGAACGTTGTCGTGCAAAGGTTTCCCATGCTCTTGTTTCATTCTGACCACATGGTATTCTTTTTTGTGCATTTGTAGTAGTATTTGCAAATTTTGCAATATTTCGCAGCTGTGATCGTGTCGCCGGCATTCAGGATGTCTTGTGGTTTAATACCGCTTCAGAAAACCGAACAATTACCACGACCTTTTTCAGTACACTGTACAAGTTCAGCTTTGACAGCTGTTAGGCGCATCTAACTCCAACCCGTGAACGTTGTCGATTGGCTTGTGGGATTCAATTTCCACCACATGTCAGAATTCCATCAAAAAATCTGTCACTAGCTTCTGTTTAGTACAGAGTGTGCAACAGATTTCATAACGACAATGTCTTTGGTTTTCGCTCAAGTTATGAAGCCAGTTTTTCGGCTTTTTCACTTTTCCCTTCCTTTGAAGTGAAAGCGAGGAGCGATTGTTAATTGAGATTTATTTCCACCTCCGGAGTGGTGTCAGCAGAGGGTCAGTGTCAATTGTCGTCATCGTAAGCTGTTATTGGTTGCTTCTAATCTGTTTTGCCATCAAAACGTATATCTCCTTTACGAAATTCGTCAGATTATCTGTGGTACGTCAGCTCTGAAACCTTGTTACCCGTGTTTTGATGGCATTTCAAGTTCCATTCTCTATTTTATTTCCAGTTCTTAACTAGGATAAGTCAGGCATAATAGTGTTTACTTATTGTTTTGATGCCACTATTTCAACAAGATAAAACCACTGTAATTTAAGCGTTGGGAAAAGTACTAGATATGTGACAATTACTATATTAGTTATGCTACCAGCGAGGTTTGTAATGGTTAGCAGTAACACTTTAAGCAATTCATATTTGTTGTAAAATATGTTTGTAAAGTTCAGTACAGGAAAATCCACCGTTATTTTCGATTCAACTTGATATACACTTAAATACATTGGTCACCTTCAGTTCGATCCCCTATCTTGCACCCACTATCCATGCAGTTGCTGGCGTCCGCGAGTGAAGTGGCATCTTTTGGGTAGTGCCATATGTTGTTGGACGTCCCATCTTATTCGTTTACTGCTCACTGTTGCAGATGAAGTCATCGGTTAACTTGAGATCAATTTTAAGTAGCAATGCAATAAACAAACGTATTATTG